TGTATTTTAAAACTAATTTCCTTGTAATACTGTTATAAGTAAATCATGTATACCTAAATTAGACAATTTAAGAAAATTGCTTCTTCGTTTTCCCTTTAAATTCCAACATTGGTGAAGTCTAACTGGGCTAATCAAAGGCATCATCATTCTTTAATGGTTAAATGCCAACTTTGATCCCTTAATTTTAAGGTTTTGTATAATTTTCATCTCTTAATTTTTTATGTATTTTTTTGATCTCTTAACTATGAAAAATGCATTTTTTTACTCATTTCGTTAGTTAATCTATTAAGTTTGGACAAAATATGTGTATATATTAAAAGTTGAGAAACTAAAAATATGTAGATTTATATAGATTTAATAGATTAATTGATAGAAGGACTAAAAAGATATATTTTTTATAATTAAAGATAAAAAAATATAAAAAAATTAATAAATAAAAATTATACAAAATTTTAATGCTGGGGAACAAAATTATCATTTAACATCCCTTGATAACCCATCCAGGACGCTGGGACACTTTGTATTTCCTAAGTCCAACTAGGCTTAGCTGTTTGGGCTGTGGATTCTAAACTTTGACCGTTGACCACCACGGGAGCAATCAACGTTCAAATGAGTCAACTTTCACGTGTAACAACTTAAAAAAAAAACAAAGGCAAGCGGATAGCCGGGGCAAAATTGAATCCAATTCGAAAATTTGACCAAAATTTATCAATTATGGGTAGGATTATGGGTTATATATATTAATTTGAAATTTGAAATGATTTAGATTGAAATTATTCGAATCCAAATGAAATGAGTCATGGGTGGATCGGGTCACCTAAACGAACCTGAACTTTTTTTTATTCTTGTTTTATTAGATTACTTAAAAGTTAATTTTAAATTTCTAATTTTCTACTCTTAAAAGTAGAAATAAATAAAATACTCAAACTCTAATCTCTCATCAATTTCACTATTTCTCAACTTTTCCTTTTCTCCACTCTCACTTTCCCCATCTTCATCTCAAGCTCTTTAATCCTTATCTTTGGTGGCACTCGTGTAAAAAATTAGATTATGTGGCATATAATGAATTATGTTATATGATATTGTAAAAAATATTATTTTTAAAAAATATAAAACAAGACTACTTACTAAAAATCAAAACCTAGTGGTTAAGGTACCCTTATAACCATTAGAAGCACAAAAACAAGAACATCAAAATCCGTTCTTAATTGCTAATTTGTTCTTAATTAAAAAATTGTTCATAATTAATAAAAATCAATTCCGACCCAATTTTTTCTTGTATTTGGTTAGACATATTTTGGATTTGCTTTTTAAATTTTAATATTAGATAAGGCTATATTTTCTTGTATAATACCCTTCTAAATATTAAATGGAGCTATATTTTTTGTATAATACTCATATAGATATTGAATAGGCACTAGATATTAATATATATATTGGGTTTATCTTTTGAACTCTAATTCTTCGTGTCTCCTTTTTTAATGAAAGTTAATACCTTTATTAAATTATGAATTCTAAATATTGTATAAATATTATATATTTGACATATATTTTAGTTCCACCTATATAATCACTAATATTTTCCTTTTCTTTTCTTAAAATTGGAAAAAAATTGAATTATGAAATGAAAATTAATGTTTAATAAGTTTTCTAACTAAATAGTTAATTAGTAATAAAATTTTTTAACTAAATAATTAATTAATATTAGATTTTGTTAA